AAATAGCCACACCACAGGATGGATGTGATCTCCACCGGCAGGTGAAGCCGCTCTTAACTATGCAGTGATGCCCCTGTGCTCACTGAGATGCAGTTTTCCAGCTGAAACTAGAAAATTTGCCCTTCACCCCCTTCAGTAAGTCAAGTGACATGGAGGTTGATATTTATAGAGACCGAATCAGCAAATTAAACACACGGGAAAATGATGGAAACTACCCTGATATTCGGTACAAGGAGGCAAAGAAATAGGTCAAAGTCATTTACTGAGGTCAAAGATCTGGTCTCCTGGTGTAATAAGGTCAGTTAAAAGGCACTTGGGAAGATAAGAGCAGTTGTTAATTCACAGATTCATGTGGAAAATTACGACAATCAAGAGCATCACTACCCTACCATTGGTACAGTATTTTAGTAGCAAAATAACAAAAAGGGGAAAATAAAACATGATGTCAGAAAAAATACAAATAGGATATTTTCACAGAGAAGATACATTTTTTTCAGACATAAAAGTTCAGGAAACATTGAGTGGGCAATATGATTCCGAGTAGTAATCTATCAGAGGCTAGAAAGGCATCTCAGCTATTCAGTAGAGTTAAGATGAATTAAAGAAATGCACACATGCCCTTGAACAACGTGGGGGTTAGGGGCACCGAACCCTGTGCAGTCAAAATTCCACATATCACTTTTGACCTCCACCCCCAAAAACTTGACTACTCACAGGCTGCTGTTGAGCAGAAGCCTTACTGAGAACATCAACGGTTGTATGTTCCATGTAATAGTTACTGTATCTTTACAATAAAATAAGCCAGAAAAAAGAAAATGTTATTAAGAAAGTCATCAGGAGAAAATGCATTTACAGAACTGTACCATATTTATCAAAAAAAGGTGCGTTGTCAGTGGACCCGCGCAGTTCAAACGCGTATTGTTCAAGGGGTGGCTGGATTTAGGAAGGGCTGCCGCAGACGAGATCACGAGAAGAGGCTGTCAAAACAGGGAGAAGGGGAGGCACTGACCGACTAGGATGTTGTGCACTCTTCCAACTTTCAGGAGTGAGGAGAGCTACACACACAGAGGGAGTATAATTATGAAGCAGCAAGATCTCAGCAAAGTTTGCAGGGAGCAGGCAGCTCTCTTCATGATAATGATGCCAGAAGGAGAAAAGCATAAAGAGGAAACTCTTACAGGGAAGTAAATTGTACTTGGAAGGTAAGCATCATGTGATCCCATTAGTGCTGCTCTGGGCTAGAGTCTGGAGAGCTCAGTGCCAGGATGAGGAAGAGGTAGGAGAAGAAGAGGTGGGATTTGTGCAGAGGGGCTAAGTTGAGACTGGCATGCTGCTGGAAGCTTCTGCAGGAGGTGGTGTCCCCCCGTCTGCATTAGCGCCACCGTAGTCAGTGGGTACATCGCCACATCGCCCCTCCTCTCTCTCCAGGGGCATCCCTGGGGGATGCCTGGGGGGTACCCAGGCAGGGTCTCTGCAGGTTGTTAAGGGACTGGAACCATGGCTGAGGCTGCCCTGAGGACAAGGATGGGCGGACGCAGGAGTCAGCCAGCCTTAGAACTGGCACTGTGGTTGAGGCAAGAGATCCAGGGAGGCCAGTGAAGACTTTAGGATCCTGCAGCAAGCATCGTGGACACACTGGCCATGGTCTAGCAGACGGAGAAGAAGAAAATGAAACAAAAGGGGCTGCTATAGGAAGAGGTTCAGGAAACTGGGAGATTAGATACGCAAATGGACACTGGCCAGACTGTCTATAAAAACTAGACTCTGCCCCAACAGCTGCGGCCACCTGACCAAGACACCAACCTCCCACCCACAATAACTAGCCCAGGAAGCCAGCCTGTGATAAGGCAGGCTATTTCTAGTAACATCCAAGACACCAAACAATAACTTCTGTAACCCTGTAACCTTCTGCCCCAAATGGCCATGACTTGATTAAGAACTACCAGCTTCCCTAATTTTTGTTCCCACTTCCAACTCAGGACCAAGCAGAGAAAGCCAAACATGCACCCCTTAACCAAGGACAGAGGACGCCTCGATTCCTGAAGCTGCCCAGCCTCCAGCTTCCCCCTGCCAACAGCCCCTGTCAGGACACACCTGAAGGCTTCCCCCCACCCCCTTCCACTAGAAAGCTCTCCGGGGCCTCTACCTGAGGCTCTGCCAAAGGTGATAGTGGCTGCCTGCTTTGCCAGAGCCGGCCCTGAACAAACGGTCTCTGTTCTGCGGTCGTCTTCGTATCCTTCCCCAGAACCAAAGAGCACAGTCAGGATAAAGCAGATTCTGGATACGTGAGGACGAGGGAGGAACAGGAAGTTGGTTGTGAAGAGAGAAAGGGATTTCGGACACTCTGGAAGGGACGGGGAGAGGGTTCTTATTTACCTGTTGCTTGTTATGAGTTTCCTGCTGTGTTCTTATGGGGTATGCAATTTACCAGTAAAGCCCCGTGAGACAGATTTCTTTTAGTCTACCCCTTTCAATAGAAACAAAACTAAAATAGCCTTTATAACCCATCAGGGGGGAGTGGAGGCCAAGGCTGGGGTCCCTCCTTTTCCCTTGACAGGCTACGCCCCCCAAGTCCTCTCTGCCCGTGTGCTCCTGACCACGGCCTGCCGTTGCCTCAACTGTCCCATTATTAACTGCTCTGTGGCTCATCCTTGTGTGCTGCCACGCTCTGTAAATAGGCATCGAATGAAATGATGAATACCTTGTCGAAATTTACAGTCAGTAAGTGGTATAATGCAGATTTGAATCCAGATCTTGATGATTTCAAAGTCTATGGCGGTTCACTGCATTAGGCTTCCTTGGAAGTGCAATAGTACAATGGACATTAAATTCATTGACTAGAGGTGGTCAGAACAGTCGGCTAGGGTGTTGGGAAGTACACTGTAGTTACTAAGCAGGATGGCAGGGGATGGAACTGAAGGTCAGGGGTTGTCAGCCAGGGACAAGAGAGGGTGGGAAAGAGTCCTGGAACTAGCAGGTGATGTTGCCTATAACATGGTGTGAGTGGACAATGCAAGAAAGTTCCATCAAATTAAAATGAGAACTATCGGGAGCCAATGGTGGGGCAGGCGGCTGTCTGACTGGAGACTGGGGCTGGACGGGGCATGAGGAATGGCCAGCACCCCACCTTCGTCCTATGTGCCGGGGAGAGGAAACAAAGCAAAAGGTCTTCGGGATGAGGTCGGGGTGGCAGAAGGACAGGTGGTGCCTATGGCATGGCTGAGAATGCAAAAGGACACACACAGGGCACAGGGGAAGAGGCTGCAAAAGAGAGGGAGATTGGAGGGGATGCAGGTTCTAGAACACATGGCTGCGTGGAGGGGGAGCCCAGCAACCAGGCAGTGACGCCAACTCCCCAGGGGAAAGGCAGTGGGGGATGGTGGGTAACTGGAAGAATGTGTTCCAGATTTGAGGGAGAAGCAGTGTTGAGTCACTGGGATTTAACAATTGATTGAGGTGGAGAAATAAGCAGACCCAGATTCCAGCTGTATGAACTTAAAGTCAAAATTGGATTAAATTATAGCTTCTCTCAAGTGAAAATAGGAATAGTTCTAAGATTCCCTCTTTTTGGTTGTTGAAACCTACAAATAACCTGCGAATGTGTCTTAAAAGGTCCTGCATATTTTATCTTAGAAGTTGTTACAGTTTGACCTTTATAAAGCTGCTTCCTAGGTGCTGGGGTTTGCCATTTCAAGTACTCAGCAGACCTCATCACGAAGTGAGGTGAGAAGGGGCAGAGCCAACCCACGGAATAAGATGAGTCACCAGCCCCCTGTCCACGGATGCTTCTATCTGTCATGTCATAGGAATCTCGGAAAGTTCTGATGCAGAAGGAGTGTTCTGGAGGAAGATGGTGGCAATCTGCTATTGTTCTATTGCCTACTAATAACCCCAACAAATTCTCCCAAATTCAGTCTAAGAAGTAAATATACGTAGGAACCCCTTCCAAACATGTTAGAATAAATCTAAAATGTATGCTAATTTCTCTCTTGTATCCTTTGTTCCTTGTCTAATACTGTTCTCTGGTAACTAGACTATAATGTACCATGGGTTGAAAAACAAACTTCAGTGGTCTTTTCCAGACATTTTTTTGTGCCATGCATTCAACCCTCAAGGCAAAGTCTCCAAGATAAAAACCCACAGACACATTACCAAGTTGTTGTTGATCTTAAGCTGGAAAAGAGGGGCACTTAGACTAAAGCTTGCCAGAGGGAAAAACTACAGTGAAAATTCATTGTAAGCTCTAATTCATAAGAACTATGGTGGTTGACTTCAGCTTTGCCGCAACATGTAATAAAAATAGACTTCTCATCTATCTGCCCCCTGCCTTGGTGCTTGCTTACACCCTCCCCATGACCTAAAAAAAAAAAAGGGCAGCTCATGGAAGAGCTGGAGAAGGAGATTTATGGGGATAAAACCATGTCCCAATGGCCCTGCCAGTTAGAAATATCCCCAAGGAGACATTATTTAAGGTAACAGAAGAGACATAATACGTAAATCTAATGTAATCTATTTCTAGATTAATAACAAACTATGTGCGACATTGAGACAGAGGAGGCGTGTGTCTTCTTATAGACACGCTGATCTATTTCATCCTGAATCTTAAGTTGGAATTTTTCCTGAGATGTGTGTTTCTTTAACTTCCACTTGATGTGACAACCAGCACAGTGTCCCTTGTTCATTTGGGGCACTCATTTTTGCCAGGCTCGTCATGGGACAAACCAAAACCTCATCGACAGAGAGGGGTCTCTGTACAAAATTTCACTCTCTCCACCAGCCCCCTGTACAGGATATGCCCAAATTGTAAAGAATGGTCATTGAATGAAATCGTTACTCATTTTTATTCCCTCGGTCTGAAAAGTAAGAGTCATGCCTCAGCTTAACCAACAGGTAGGTTGGATGATCTCATGTACTTAGGATATTTTTCTCCCTACTGTCTAGCGCTCTCTTTGCTTTTCTGCCCACCCCCTAAAAGAGAAGTTTTGTTTGTTACCTCTTACCGACATTTATTTTGACAATTTTTTTCTGAGAGTCCATCCTCATCCTCTCCCATGATGTCCACGGCAGAAAATATCAATGCCACGAGAATGGCAAAACAGCATACCAGGGCAAAGATCACGATGCACTTCTGCTGGGACTGTCGAGAAAAAGAAGGAAAAGAAAAGTGAGAAGCAGCTTCCACTTCGGAAACTCAGGATTGGACAGCTTTTCAAAACCCTTTAGGAAAGTTACTTTCATCACTGCCAGCGAAGGGCTGTCCTCAGAGGGAAATCTTGCTCATTCCTCAACAGAGCCTTCAAACCCTGCTAAGTATGTTATAACCTGCTAAATAATGCAAGTGCTGTATCGAGACTTCTGAACAAGTTCACTCTCCCTCTTTCTCACCAAAAGCAGTCCAGAAGATCTGGAGATCTTCTACAAGATCTTCTACAAATAGCACCATGAGGTCCATGAGTGCAAATTAAAAATGACAAGAGTGGCTCAATAATTATTCTCTGTCCCCCGTTATTATCACCACCTTCCAAACTCTATGCAAGGTCTATGCCCTCAAACTCTGTATCCTCTCGCTTCTCCCACCTTGTCTTGCTCTAAGACCTTTACTATGATGGCTTCAGGAGAGATGCCCCTGGCAGGTGAGGATGAGTTCCACACTTTGATCAGAAATTAGATCCATCAGATGCCAGCATCTTGGGTCATGTAACTGACATGGTTCATTTCAAAAGACTGAACACAGTCATAACCAACATTCATACTCTTGATACGATTTTCACTTAGAAATAGCGGCTGAAGGTCCAGCCACTTTTGTCCTTATCTTTAGGGCCAAGTGTTGTATTTTGAGACATCCCTGTCCCCAGGGGTTCATGGCCACAGGGGGCAGAAGATGGGGCCATGGTCCCTGGGCAGCACCCATGGCCCCCAGAACAAATAATTTTGCCTACATTCTATTTATTAGATAAATCTGGATGGGGAAAAGAAGAGAAAGAACAAATTTTAATTTTAATTTTTAAAAGTGTTTCTGAAGGTTTTAGGGATTATTTGCAGGAGGGGAAAAAGTGATCATTGACCAGACAGCCAGGAGAAATTCCCTTAGTGATGAGATGCATATATGTGTACACACACACACACACACACATTTCACAGTTTTGTGGAAACCAGCTGGCTTTGCTTCTCCCACCACCCCCTGCCCTTTATCCCCACAGCCACATGGCCTCCAAAGAGCCAAGGAACCTCCCCAAGCTCAGGGTCCAGTTTGTCCAGGGACACGCTCAGATTACAGATTCTAGAGAAAGGTGTTGTCAAGGAATGAAGGTGCTTCTGTAACCAGGAACGATCAGCTCAGCTGCTTGTTTCCTTCTAGAGTCTTTGTCTTCTGACTTCCCTCAGATGTCCCCTCCCAAGAGAAGCTGGTTCCAAGTCCCTTCCTGACTCTCACTGTGCGCTTCTCTTACTCCACACCCAGGGAGGAAGTGGGGGAAAGCCCAAGCGAGACATTTGTGAACCACTGTTCTTTGACCCTAGGCCCCCGGGATCTTTAAGACAGGGATACGTTTTATTCTTTCCATCCTAAGCAACCAGCACAGGGCCAAACAGATAGAAGGTACCCAAGAAATAATGACTGTGTAAACAAAGTGAATGAATGAAATAAAAATCACAACGGCACGCTTCTGAGCATGTAGGGTGACATGAAGGTGTTTCGAGACTCAGGTGTGGCCTTTCTGAGAATTAGTTTACTTCCGTATTTTGGTGATTGTGAATCTTGCGGCTTCTCCTGTTCACTCTCTGCTTGAACCAGAGGCAAATACATGTGCCATGTTTACCGACTATATCAAACTCTGCAAAAAAGACTATGCATTCATCCTGCCCCTTTATTTTCCATTCATCCCTAGTTCCTCATTAATTTCATTTTTCAGAAGCAGCATAGGAAACTGGTTGAGGTCACAGACTTTGGGACCAGATTGCTTGGATTCTTCCACTTAGTGGTTGTATGCCCTTGGGCAAGTTATTTAGTTTTTGAGCTTCAGATTCCTTGTCGGTCAGATGGAGATGATAATCATGAAATAATAATAACAACTGCCTCATAGGGTTGTGACTGATGCTTAAGTTAAATGAGATACTATATGTAAAGTTCTTAAAACAGTATCTGAACAGACAGCACAGGATGAGTGTCTGCTGTTGTATATGCACCTCTGGGAGCTGCCTCAAATATTTGGGGGAAACAAGGTAAAGATATGAATAGATAAAAAAACATACGGGACACCAGGGGGGCTCAGTCGGTTAAGCATCTGACTCTTGATTTCAGCTCAGGTCATGATCTCAGGGTTGTGAGATCAAGCCCCTTGTCGGGCTCTGCACTGGGCCTGGAGTCTGCTTGAGATTCCCTCTCTCTCTCTCTCTTTCTCTCTCTCTGCCCCTCCCCCACCCTCTCTCTCTCCCTTTCTAAAAAATAAAAGAGTAAAACGAAAACAGACCACAAAAACTATATGTGTAAGAGAGAAGCAGAGTGATAGAGAGACAGAGGTAGAGAAGGAGAGGAAGACATGAAAAGAGAGAAGGTAAATGTGAGATGAAAATTGTCTAGGATAAAAATCTTTTTAAAGATTTTGTTTATTTATTTGACAGAGAGAGAGAGAGAGAGCACAAGCAGGGGGAGCGGCAGGCAGAGAGAGAAGCAGGCTCCCAGGGAGCCCGATGCAGGGCTCGATCCCAGGACCCTGAGATCATGACCTGAGCCAAAGGCAGAAGATGCTTAACTAACTAAGCTCCCAGGCGTCCCTAGGATAAAATTTTTGAGAAATTTTTCTAGCCATCTCTGACCTCAAAACACTAAAGCAGCATTCCTTAAACTTCAGCCTGCATCAAAATCACCCAGAGGGCTTGTGAAAACACATGTGGCAGGACCCCATTTCCAAAAGGTTTTGGTTGAAGGCTTGAATTGGTCTGGGGTAGCGCCAAGAATGTGCATTCCTAACAAGCTCCCAGGGGACACTGATGCTGCTGACCCAGGGGTCAGACTCCGAGATATCAAACTATCACCCATACTAAGTCCTGTTTTGTTTTGTTTTTTTTTTAAGATTTTATTTATTTATGTATTGAGAGAGAGAGAGTAGGGAGAGGGGAGAGAACATCCCAAGCAAACTCAGCACTGAGCATGGAGCCTGACACAGGGCTTGATCCCACGACCCTGAGACAATGACCCAAGCAGAAATCAAGAGTCAGATGCTCAACCAACTGAGCCACCCAGGCGCCCCCCAAAGTCCTGCTTAATACATGTCCATCCTTCAAACGCACCTCCTTTAGCTCATTTTCTTTTTTTTTTTTTTTTTGGTTTAAAATTTATTTATTTGAGAGAGAGAAAGAGAGAGAGTGCACAAGCAGCCGGGAGGTAAAGAGGAAGAGGGAGAGAGAGAATCTCAAGCAGACTCCCCACTGAGAACAGAGCCCAACAAGGGGCTCAATCCCAGGACCCTGAGATCATGACCAGAGCTGCAATCAAGAGTCAGAAGCTCAACTGACCAAGCCACCCTGGCACCCCTCCCTTAGTTCCTTTTCAAACAATAAAGGGATCATGACAAATACATCCAATGTGGGGGCTTAGAAATAAATAATTTTAAATAATTTTTTAAAATTTTGAATGAGTTTTCTCCTGCCCTTTACTTTCTATTTATTTTACTAATATTCATTGCTTGTATAATCAGAAACTGTTTGCTGTTAACTATTTTGAAAAAAAACACACATAATACAAAAAAGGAAATAAATCACTCCCAGTCCCACTCAGACAAAACTGCCATTAGCATTTTGTTCTCATTCTTTCCTATATACTATGTCTACTGATCTAACAATCTAAAGATATTGGTATCACGCTATATACAGTTTTGCATTCTGCTTTTTGCACTTGATTATGCTTTAAGGTCATTAAATATTCTTCTAAAGCATAGTCTTAAATTGTTGCATCGCATTCCATTGCATGGATATGTCACTGTCACCTTTATTCCAAGAACTTTTTTTTTTAAAAAAGCCACTCATTTAACAACACAAAAAATAATTAAACATTTTTGTCATTTTACCCTATTTCCATATAAATTATAAACAGAAACAAACAAACAAAAAGCTTTTAGAGGGGTTTAAAGCAATGCAATCATGACACATTAATCAAGTCCAGAGAGACTCTAACCCAAGTGATATAATTAAACATTATTTCAAAAAGAATCCTGAAGAGAGTAGGATAAATATATCGTGTCAGGTACATTTGTGGGTACTCAATGAATAAATCCTAATGAAGTTAATACTAAATGCTGCATCCACAACAATATTGATCTGTTTCCCTTTATTCTGAATTTTATGATCAAACAGTCAATAAGAGCTCCCATTAATTTGCATGCTACTGGAAGTACTTTGATATAATAACCCTCACAAATTTCTGTTAACTTCTATTCATTTAATTCTATATTATCTTATTCTATTAATACGAACAACTGACCTAGTTATTTTCATTTTAATTCATCAAAGAAGAGAAATTCAGACTCTGATATTCATTTTTAAATGTCTCCTTGAAAGAATGTACTAGAACAATATAAGGTCAGACCACTGCTTTTTTTACACCTCATCAAAAATGAACAATTCTGTTCAAATGACAGCCTCACAAATGAGACCAATCTTCAGGTTACCAAGACATTTATTCATTTTCAAATCCTTAACAGATCTTTTCAGATCATTTAGGAATCAATTTGAAACACACTCTTCTGTTTTTACTGAATAGAATCAAAGTATGCAAAGTTTTAAGGAGAACCCATTAACATGATTACAACCTCAACTCCACTAATGAGCTCAACCAATTAAAAGAAAACAAAATTTGAAATGCTATTATCCAGCATCAGTCCATACTTTTCACTGGAGTTTGTACTGAAACAGTTTTGAAAAGAATTGCTAGCTTGGTCAAGAAATAAATGTAATTACTCTAATGCCAAAAATATTTAAATATTATATCCTTATCAAATACATTTCACCTTAATACAGAAAAAGAGATGTATGACCTCTAAATGGTTAGAGTATTAAATTGGAAACTTGGAAGTACTATTAATTCCAACTTGGGCTTTTATAGCATTTGATAAACTCTTAAAAGGAATTTACACCCACATG